TAAGAACAGCCATACTTGGTTAGACCAAAGGTCTGTGTAGCCCAGTATTCTGTCTTCCAACACAGGCCGACACCAGATGCCCCAGAAGGAATGAACAGAACAGGTAATCATCAACTGATCCACCCTCTGTCGCTCATTCCCAGCTTCTGGCAAACAGGTTGATATTTTATCCAGTGCATGATGGGTAGTAACATTGGGACATAGAGGGTGACGTTCTCATGATTCCAAGATGGCTTGAAGGGCTTTATTCAGGTAGCCATTTTGGTGGTGATTGAAAAATTGTTTTACATATTAAAAGATTAAATGTGGTTTGACCCATTTTTTTAATCAGCACGTCAGTAACAGAGTATATTGCTAACATCAAAGTGTTAACAGCGAAAATCAGTGAAAACTACATTTAAAACTGGTGCACTAGGAGTTAGCTGTCAGAGTAAAATGTGAATACTTGGTTCTTAGCAATGTAAATTGGGTTATGTTTTGACAGCTCTTTGCTGCAGTTATTGTTACAGTGAGGTTCTTGGAAATGGAATCCAGTCACCAGTTGGCCTAGCATTTTTTTTCTGTATCAGATGAAGTGTTTGAAAATACGTTAATTTGCTCTTTGGTCTGTTTTAGTTGCAATGGCTTGTTTTATGTCGTGTTTATTTTGAAAGCCAAGTGTAGCTTGTTTCACTCAGAGACATATCTGATGGAAAATTTATCGGTGTTCCAGTGTCCAGGGAGCAGTATATTTAATTGCACTGTGCTTTTGTGAGCATGTTTAGATTTCTGCTCCTTCTATCACAGAGGGTCTTAAAATTAGCATTGGAGGAATTCCAGCACTGTAGTAAAACGTATTTCCCAAGTAAGTTGGACCCAGGCTCAAAAAAATGGAAATTTGAAATACCTTATTTACTACTCCAAGCAGTTTTTTAACACAGAAAGCAAACCCTCCATCCCCTCCTTCCTCCTCCCCCCCCACCCCACCACACACACACACACACAAAAAACTTTCCAGGAAGAATAGATTTATCCTCTGTGTGCTGGGGAGGAAGAGGGAGACAGCACCTGAAATGATTCTAGCATGGTACAGCTGAGGCCAAGCCCTTGGCATTTGGTGCTGTATTTTTGCTGATGAGCACTGAAGTTATCTCTTGGGGTTGGGAAAGAATTCTCCAGGTACTGAAGAAAGATAAGGCCGTGAAGGCAGATTATTCTTAATAAGGCATTGCACAACACAGCAGTTTCACACTGATAATGAACATGGGACTCTCTCTCCTCCCACCCTCAGCCCCAACCACCTCTCTGCTCTTGTTGAGAATTTGCTGCAGAACTAGGAAAAATGTTGTTTACAGTGGAAATTAATATCTGGAACAAAATGGCAGGAATTGTAAATCAGGCTACTTTTAAAAAGGCTAGTCAAGTGTATGTTTGAAGTTACCTTTGCTGGGATTGCCTCATAAAATAAGCATTCTAGTTTGGGGAGGATTAGTTGTTTGTCTTTTTACAGGACAAAAGTGTACACAGTTTTTTTAAGTGGGGAAAAATACTTCTTTCCTTCTTCTTGTTAAATACTTTTGTTAAGAAGAATAGTATCTGCAGTTATGTCACCTCTGAGTATAATTATTAACTCTGTCATACATTCATTTATAATCTCAGCATCATTTTGGGACTAGAAGAAATCTCTCCCCTGGATCCCTCGTATTCCAGTATTGTATAATTCTTCTTCGAGTGATTGTTCATGTGTATTCCATTAGGTGTGTGCGCACAGCGTGCACGCGCCGTCAGAAGCTTTTCCCTCAGCAGTACCCTTAGGGCCAGCAGGGGAGCCTCCTGAGTGGCGCTGGTATACTGGCCCATATACAGGCAGTCCCCGGGTTACATGGATCTGACTTACATCGGATCCCTACTTACAAACGGGGTGAGGCAACCCCACACTAGCTGCTTCCCCCCAGCAGACCAGGGAGACGCGAAGCTAGCGCCCCCCCCCAGCAGACCAGGGAGACGCGGAGCGGCTTTTTCAGCAGACACCTCAGCTTGAGAATAAAGGACTGAGGGAAGTGAGGTGTGGGAGAATAAAACTGAGCTCTGGAGAAATGTTTGGCTAGAGTTTCCCCTACAGTATGTACCAGTTCCGACTTACATACAAATTCAACTTAAGAACAAACCTACAGTCCCTATCTTGTACGTAACCCGGGGACTGCCTGTATACCCCTGCTGGCCCCCTCACCCACTCAGTTCCTTCTTACCGCATCATGGTTGTCTTCCACATTGTTCTTCTCATTCTTTCAATTAGTCTCCAGCTAAGTAGCTGCAAATTAAGTTAAGGACTCTTTTGTTATTTTCTGTTTAGATACTCCCCGCCACTTCGTGACATGTGCCCACGGCAGGGCATGCCTGGTCCGCAAGGCTTTAAGCCCTGCAAAAAGTGTCACAGGCCTATGCCCTGTGGTGATCCCCATTCATCGTGTCTAAAGTGTCTGGGGGAGGCTTACCTCACAGAAGCCTGCAAGATCTGTAAGGCCTTCAAACCCTGTACTAAGTGTGAGAGGGAATCGCGCCTCAAAATCCTGCTAATGGAGGCGGCTCTCAGGCTGGCACTGGTGTCGGACCCGGCACTGGCCTCTCAAAGCGCACCAGCGTTGGTGCGGGACAGTTCTGTGCACTGCGCATCTCCTGCACCGCAGAGGTCCCAGCACCGGTCCCAGTCTCCAGCACCTCAGAAAAAGAGGAGACCTAACAGGGGCCAGTCCCCATCCAGACATGCACCCTCTGTGCACCCTCCCACGGGGCACGTGGTGCCGACGAGTCCGGAGCCCAGGCCTTGCAGGTCGGACAGACCTTCCTCCCAGTGCAGAGAGATCAGTCCTATGGAAGACTTCCTTGAACCCTCCATGCTGAAGGCCTTAGAGGCAGCGAGGGTCCTCATTGACTCCTCTCCCTCTCCTTCCCCCACCCTGATACTCTCCAGACAGCACGGAGAGAATCAGCACCAGCCTCCTTCCAGGACATCTGAAGGTCGGGTGCAGGAGGTTGGACGCCACCGACCACCCCTACAGACCCCAGCGGCGCCGTTCACAGCACCTGCCACCGGGATGTCCTTACCCTCGCTGCCGCCCCAGGTCGTGACACCACCGTTCAGCACCGCTACCAGTCCAGGGGGCCCTGGCACCTACCTCTGCATGGGACGCCCACACCGCCATGCCACCACCTCCACCTTGGCACCGTGGCAAGCCGGAATCTATGGCCAGACAGGCGATAGCTTTGTCGGCACCTGTGTCATTTCCATCTTGGTCTGCCTCAGCGTATTCATCTGACTCTGAGGTGGAATCCACCTAGTACTCAAGGGGTTCCCGGTCCCGTTCGCAGCGCCACTCCCGCTCTCGGCACCGTTCCTGGCACCGCAGCCCTCCTTACCTATACCAACAACAATGGACACAGCCTGTTCCTGTGCCAATGTTGCAGCAAACGTAGCCCCCCATAATCTCTGAGCCAGTGGCCATTCTGGACACCCTGGGCGTACCACCAAAGCCAGGATGTAGATCCACCCAGGCTGGTTTCCGTCTCCTCAGGCCCATGAACTCCTCCTTTGGCAACACTTCGGGCCAGTTGCTACCTCCTGATCAGTCGTCTCCAAGCCCCGGGGGAGCACGGCTCTGGTGAGCCAACCTCCCCCTTCCTCGTCCCTGGGTTCCTCGCACTTGGACGCCCCTGTAGGAGAGGTTCAGAAGGGGTTGTCGTCCTCTTCTCCTGATGAGGCCTTAGGTGATTCCACACCACCCGTGCCCTCCATGGACGCTAGGGCCCACCAGGACCTTCTCCGCCGCCTGGCCCAAAGTCTGGGGGTCCAGGAAGAGAAGGTGTTGGAAGACTCGGACCCTATGGTAGACATCCTACACTCCAATGCTTTCTCCAGAGTGGCTCTTCTGGTTAATAAAACTGTAGCCAAAATTTCTAAGGCCTTGTGGCAAACCCCTGCATCTAGCCCCCTGACTGATAAGCAAGCTGAAAGGAGGTACTTTGTTCCCCAAGAGGGCAACGAGCACCTGTTTTCTCGCCCTCCCCTGGGCTCCTAGTAGTACAAGCCATCAACCACAGGGAAAGACAAGGCCAGCCCACTGCCACCCCTAAGAACAGGGAGGCCAAGAAAACTGACCTGCTAGGCAGGAAAGTCTACGCATCTGGGGGTATCCAGTACCGCATCGCCAATCAGCAAGTCCACTTCGCATGTTGTGCCTATAATACCTGGGCGTCCATGGACAAGTTCACGGACCTGCTCCCCAGGGTCTCCTGCTTGGAGTTTCAGGCTCTCCAAGAGGAGAGGAGCGCGATCTCCAGAGCAGCACTTCAGGCAACTCTCGATGTAGCGGATGCCACTGCCCAGGTGATGGCCACAGGTGTGGTCCTATGCCATAGTTCCTGGCTTCAGGGTTCTGGGGTTCCCCTGGAGCTCCAAAACATCCTCTTGTTTTAGGGCCCTTTGCTCTTCTCTGAGCAGACCGATCAGAGGCTCCATGGCCTCAAGGATACCTGGGCTATCCTAAAATCCTTGGGCATGCACACTTCTGCTACCCAGAGGCGCACTTTTTCAAATAGGAATGTTCCTAGAGCGCCCCCTTAGGCCCCATGTCCTGACTTCTCCCGTCGTAGGAGCTGGAGTGGTAATGGCGGGAACAACAGGCACTGACTGCGCCCGGCTCCAGGCAACAAACAGGAGCCCCCCAACAAATCCCGAGACCCCCGTCATGTTATACAAATAAAAGCAAGCAGGATCTTATGAGGGGGATAAGGCAAAAAGCCACATTTATTGTAAAGAGAATAATAAAAAAATAAAAGATAGAAGTAAACAACGTTCGTTGTTTAACTACTTAACCCTTATACATATAAACATTCATTCATCCATTCATTCAGGTTCTGTGTATTTGTTATAGTTACCAGCCTGGAAGTTGCTTGTGACAGAATACTGGCCAGGTATTCTGTACACAAGTGATGGTAGTGGGGAGCGAAGTCCTGATCAGATGCGCATCTGAAGCTCCTGGTAGGCTGGCAGCAGAACCTTGGACTTTGATTCCATAGTTTTTTAGTCCAGTTCTTATAGCGGTGGCATATATAAACAAGCAGGGCAGGGCTCATTCTCCTTGCCTATGCTTGGACATGATTCAACTGTAGGACCTCTGCATCGGGCGGATATCCACCCGATGGCCTCGTACCTCCCGGGTTCCCAAAACATCCTGGTGGACAGGCTGAGCAGATCCTTTGCAGGACATGAATGGTTCCTGAAGTGGGATGTAGCTCAATCTATCTTCCATGTGTGGAGGTCTCCCTATCTAGACCTATTCGCCACAGGGCGGAACAAGAAGTGCCCTCATGGGGCAGGGACAGGGTTCCCTGTGAGATGCTCTCCTCCTCCCCTGGCCACAGAGCCTGCTGTATGCCTTCCCGCCATTCCCGCTAATTCACAGGGTCCTCCTCAGAATGCGGGAATTCAGGATGTCCCTGATTCTAATCGCCCCGGCATGGCCCAGGCAACACTGGTTCTCAACCCTCCTCAACCTGTCATGCGAGAAACCCATGACAGAGACCTGGACCTGATATCCCAGGACTTGGGCAGGCTCCGCCACCTGGACCTGCACTTGCTGCACTTGACAGTGTGGAAGCTTCGTGGTTGACGGCGGAGGAGCTTCAGTGCTCAGAACAGGTTCAGTAAGTCTTGCTAGGTAGCAGGAAACCCTCCAGTAGGACCACGTACCTTGCTAAGTGGAAGCGGTTCTGCATCTGGGCTTCCCAGAAGGGGGTGCACCCAGGCCAGGCTACAGTCCCCCTGATCCTGGATTACCTGTTGGATCTCAGTCTCCAGGACCTCTCTTCCTCCTCCATCAAGGTTCACTTGGTGGCCATCTCGGCCTTCCACCTGGGGGAAGGGAGGAAAACCCTGTTTGCTAACCCAGTGGTCAGCAGGTTTCTGAAAGGGTTGGACAGGCTCTATCAACACGTCTGCCAGCCCGTCCCTACTGGGACCTAAACCTGGTCCTTTCCAAACTTATGGGACCCCTGTTCGAACCGTTAACGACGTGTTCCCTCCTATACCTATCTTATAAGGTGTCTCTCCTGGTGGCACTCACATCTGCCGGGCGAGTATCTGAACTCAGGGCGCTTACCTTGGATCCCCCCTACATGGTGTTTTTCAAAGATAAGGTTAGGCTCTGCCCCCATCCAACTTTTCTGCCCGAGGTGGTGTCTTCTTTCCACACCTCCCAAGATATTTTCTTGCTGGTCTTTTACCCCAAGCCACACGCATCTGGAGAGCAGGCTTTACACACTTTAGATATGCGTAAGGCATTAGTCTTTTATTTAGACAGGACAAAACCATTCAGGAAGCCACCGCAACTCTTTGTGGCCATCGCCGAATGGGCGAGGGGCCAACCCATGTTCTCCTAGTGGATCTCCTCCTGGATAATCACTTGCATCAAGGAGTGCTATGCCCTGGTGGGTGTACCGACCCCGCCTCTTAGAGCACACTCCGCAAGAGCTGTGGCAGCCTCTACCACTTTCATGGCACAGGTTCCCGTCTTGGACATCTGCAGAGCTGCTACATGGTCCTCTCTCCATACCTTCACCAATCACTATGCGCTAACGCATCAAGCCAGGGAAGACGCTACCCCGGGCAGGGCGGTCCTCCACTCCTCTGTAGCTTCAACATCCAGCCTTCCTCCATAGGTTCTGCTGTGGAGTCACCAAATTGAAATGCACATGAGCAATCACTCGAAGAAGAAAGAACGGTTACTTACCTCTTAACTGTGATTCATCGAGATGTGTTGCTCATGTCCATTCCAAATCCCTGCCTTCCACCCTTTCTCCGGAGAATTCCGGTAAGAAGGAACTGAGTGGGTGAGGGAGCCAGCAGGGGTATAAATGGGCCAATATACCGGCACCACCCCAGGGGGCTCCTCTGCTGGGCCTAACGGTACTGCTGAGGGAAAAACTAACGACGGTGCATGCACGCTGCGCACACACACCTAATTGGAATGGACATGAGCAACACATCCCGAAGAATCACAGTTAAGAGTTAAGTAACCGTTCTTTCTCTACATGTGACATAGGTACTTTTTATCTTATTTTGAAGCATCCAGTACTGATCACTGTCAGAGAAAAAATAGCAAAATACATTAATTATTGATCAGATCCAGTATGATGATTCCTATTCTTTAAAATAGGCAACTCAATCCATCATTTTAAAATCCGTAAATCTAACAGTGTATCACTACTCATAAATCACTCTGAACCAAATGCTGCTGCACACATTCCCATAAAACTCCCATTGAGATCCATAAGACTTTTGCCTGAGTATGGAGTTTTAACCCATCATATTCCAATGAAAGTGTAGCGTTTATCTTTTGTTTTTGACTGCCAATTCTGTGAAACACGAGATTGGCTCTAACCCTGAGCTTTTTATCACCTGCTGGTTATTTTAGATTTATATTTGTGCATAACTTCTGCTTAGCAAATGTATTTCACATCAGTGCTGGAATCCCTGTTAATTTAAAAAACCTTTTCATAGTATAGTGGGGAACAGACAACATACTGCATATGTGCTCTCTGTAATATAATGCCCCCACCATTTTCTACACATAGAATGAATTTTATTAGTGTAATTGTTTTATGTTGATATTGTTGAGATAGTGAAGTTGTACAAGGAGGAAGTATTTGTCTGTGGGTTGAACACATGACTGGAAGTTCAAGGTTTTCTGTCAGTTATTTTCTAGGTTTCTTAGTTTACCCATCTCTAAAACATCTTTAAAATATTTAGTTGTCTCACAGCTGTGTTGTGTGGCTTACCTAATGTCAGTAAAATGTTTTGGGATACTTGGATGAAGAGCTTGCAGAATATTATAGGCTTCCTCAACTTTGTAAGGAAAAATATGGAGCTTTTTCTAACCGAGGTGTGGAGCTGCATTTGCCTGCTGAATTGGGAAATTCCTTAGTTAATAGTTAACCAAACTGCAGCGCAGAGATCGTGAAATACATTTCAGTCACAGTCACACCCTGGTGTGTTTAGCTTGGTTAGCAGCTCGACATTGCTTTTTATATATATACCGTAGCTGATATTGCAGGGGATGTTAAGAAGTCCCTGCTTCATTCCTCTCTCCAGAAGAAACTTAGCCATATTCAGTCCATGGTTAAGACTACTGAAGTCTGTAGAATTACCCAGGGATTCATTTGGGCCACTGTTTCTGAGTTTTGAACCACTGTGCCTTATAGCACAGGATGTCTGTCAGGGCATCCAAAGTCCACAAAGAACTGGCAGCTTGCCATGAACAGCATTTGACATTAAGAGGAATGTATTGCAGCTCCCTATCATCATTAATACAAAAGTGCAGTCTCCAGTAGGGATGTTAAAGGTGAACTGATTAACCAAAGATCTCCCCCCACCTACAGTGGTCCAGCCAGCAGGGCTGCAGTGGATTGCAGGCCCAGAGCAGTTCCTGCTGCCTGCAGCTGCAGGTGGGGAAGTTGCCTTCGCTGCCTGTGGTGGGTAAGGAAAAACCCCTGCCACCAGCTGCAGGGAAGGAGCAGTGCCTGCAGCTGTTGGTGTAAAAGAAGCAGCTCCTGCTTCCCATGGTGCAGCAGAGAAGCAGCAGCCCCCAGGGCTGTGGTGAGCAGGGACCGGAGCAGCCCCTGCCATTCACAGCCAGTGGTTAACTGGTTAAACAAATCATTTAACCAGTTAACTATCTGGGCAGCTTTTATATCCCTCGTCTACAGTAATCAGTGATTCGAGCAAGTAATGTTCTGATAAAGATGGAGACTTGCTTGCTGAGCCCTGTTCATTCCGGTAAGGCCTCATTTGTATATTGGAGATGAGCATAGCTACGGGCTGCATTTTGGAAGTTTGTGGGCTACCTCTGGCTGTGGGCCACACTTACTGAGCTTAAGCATTTCCAGTGACAACTGGAAAGGAAGGAGGCAGCTCTAAAGATGTTAGAGACTGAAAACATCAACCAAAATTTTCTTAGAAGCCTAGCTAGATAGAGAGGTGGAGGAAAGCGCAGAATTTGGCTACTAACCCAACAGTGCAATGTGTCTGACAAATCAAGGAGTCTTGCAATAACTTAACTGTTCTTTCTATTATGGAGTTATAGGACAGCCTCACCTTGATGGCAGTACTGAGGAGCAAGTGATAGTTGCCAATCCTCCTGATGTTTGCCAAGTAGTAGAGGTGACAACAGAGTGTGATGAACAGCCCCTCAGCATGAGTCAGCTGTACCCTCTGCAGATCTCCCCTGTCTCCTCTTATGCAGGTAAGTCATTCCTCAAAAGCACTTTCACAAAATTCAGGAGAGCTGCTAGAATGTTAGGCAGATACGACAGCTTGGGATATAGAGGTGATGGATGGTTTCTTTGCTTTGTGTCTTAGTGTAGTTGACAGAAATTCTGAAAACACTTACACGTCACTGGTCATTTTTTGGACCTGAGTTCTAACGCTTTCAAGTATTTTCCCTAATATCACACTGGGAAGCCAGAAACCAACTTCTGTTTTAGAAGGGAAACGTAAGTGCCAATTAAGTAATTAAACTTTTGTAGCTTAACCCTTTGTAGGTGCAAAAAACCAAGAATGCACATCTTTTATTAGAAAGACAGCGTCAAGGTAGAATGATGGGCCACTTCATCTTGAATGGTGCTTTAGAATAAGTGCTCACTACTTATGCTAAACTATCTGTTTAGCTTGTATTTAGCTGTGACTCTTGAGTTCCTTTCCCAGACCTGAAAAAAGGCTCTGTGTGGATTGAAAGCTTGTCTTGCCAACAGAAGTTAGTCTAATAAAAGATATTTCACCCACCTTGTCTCCTTATGCTGCAAACAAGTTTCTTTCTCTATTACATCTTTAATTATAAAAGGTCAAAGACAGTTACAAATCCAGGCTATGTCTACACTATAGCCTCTTGCGCAAAAATATGCAAATGAGGCTCCGTTTTTGTGCAAGAGGCTTTTGCACAAAAAGGAGCTGTTTACACAGCTCCTTTTTGCGCAAAACCCCCCTCTTGTGCAAGAACTGTTCTCCTGCATTTTTTTCAGGAAGAACGGCTCTTGCACAAAAGCCTGTTATGCAAAAACAGAGCCTAGTTAATTATGCAAATGAGGCGTGGCTATATTCCACTCTGTCTCGTTTGCATATTTCTTGCACCAAACGGGTGCAGTGTAGACATAGCCCCCGTGTTTCTGCCACTATTTATATTTTTGTGGGTTTTTTTTTAGCTTGAACAGTGAAAAATCAATTGGTTTTGTTTCGTTGACACTTTAGCATTGACATCAGAGTCTCAGTACTGCAGTTTTGGGGCTTTAAATGCTAATGAAGAATATTTGTTTGTTTAAAAACAACTCTTTTCATTGGATATTTTCAATATGGAAGCATTTCTGCTAGAATACTAAAACTGGAAGGGACCTTGAAAGGTCATTGAGTCTAATCCCCTGCTCTTAAATACCTCCCACAACCTCCCTAGGCAATTTATTCCAGTGTTTAACCACCCTGACAGGAAGTTTTTGCTAATGTCCAACCTAAACTTCCCTTGCTGCAGTTTAGGCCCATTGCTTCTTGTCCTATCATCAGAGACCAAGAAGAACAATTTTTCTCCCTCCTCCTTGTAACACTCTTGCTAGTCTTACATTTCATAAAAGCTTCTTTTTACAATATGTCAATGTTGGCCCAAATTTAAGTTGACAATATTATTTTACTATTATAGTCTTTATAGCACTGATGTTGTTTTTAGATAACAGGTTTCAGAAAGAGGGTGTAATGTTAGTCTTTTTCAGCAACAACAATAAGAAGTCAGGTGGTGCCTTAAAGACTAACAATTTCATTATGGCATAAATTAGCTCTGATGTAACACTCCCATCTCTGCATCCCTGTTATCTGTTTCTTTTTCTTTCATTTCATGTATCTGCCAAAGTGAGTTGCAGCTAAGGAAAGTGTATGCCATAATAACATTTTTAGTCTTTAAGGTGTCACCGGACTCCTTGTTATTGCTGTTTTTAGAGTCATCATATTTATTCTTCATCCCACGATTTTCCTTGATTAGTCACTATAATTGGTTTACAGATGAATCCTATTTTAAGCGGCCCAGGAGATATAATGGCCTTTTTTCGCTTCTCCTTCTCTCCCTGCACAGCCTTGTTTTTACATATTGTATCCCCCATTATCCTCTTCAGTTTTCTTTAATATTTATTATGCTACTAGAGGGTGGTGCCCTCTGCTCCTTACGCTTGCCAGCCCCCCTCTCCCCCGTCTGAGGGGGTAGGCAGTCCTAGCGTCTCGGCCCCCCACTCTCCAGCCATCAGGGCTATACCAGTCCCCAGGGGTGGGTGAGCCTGGCTTTCCCCCCGGCTGCCAGGAAGGGCCAGGGCCATGCCAGACTTGGCCTCTCCCCCGGCCACCGGAGTGGGGAGAACTAGGAGCCACACCAGACCCAGCCACTGGGGAGTGGAGACAGTAGGCAAGAGCAGACCTGTCCTCTCCCCCACTTACCCCCAGCTACTGGGAAGAGATGGGATCTGTGCCAGCCCTGGCCTCTTGGCTCCCACCCTGGACTCCTCTACCCCCCACCCCAGTCACAGCCAGCCCCAGCCTCCCCACCACCTCCACAATTGCAGCTCTGGCCCCTCGACCTCCCTACCCCAGTCACAACCCTGGCCTCTTGGCCCTCAACATCTGTTTGCAGCCAGCCTTG